CCTGGCTAACCCTACCCGTAAAATACTTAAGACGGGTCCTCCACTGTTTTGGCCCAGCTTTTTCTAATTTTTGGAGTGGGGTGGTCCACCAATTGAATAGGCAACCGCACCACTTGACCACCTACGTTTTTATTCAAACTTTGATTATTGGATCAATGCGAAAAACAAGCTTCTGAAGAAATGGTTCAAGGTAGGTAACTACATTGAGACAATATGCGCGAGGCTGAGAGCTAAATGGTCCGAGGAACAAGCCCGGCACGGCTTGGCTTTCGGAATTCGGTATTTGTATAATCGAAATTCAGTGTGCTCATGATAAATCGGCAGATGCGAAGGTAAACCAGCTGATAAAATATATAAGAGTGCTTCGATAGCATGCAGTGATTCTCAAGCACGAATGGTAACTGCGATCCCATGGTTCATTGGCCTTCGCGACGTATGCAAAAACACATGCCGCACACAAGTTCATCCCGGTAATGATTGTCTTCCGCAGCATTACTTGTGACCATATAGAACAAACACATGTGTTTAGCACTAGTGCTTTGATACGTGCTCACCGATTTCATGTCTAAGTCATTGATAACGGGGAAAACCATCCCCCCCTACAACCGCGAGAAAAACATCGCATGCAATGATATGAAATGCATATGCAATATGCATTGCATAGAGACCAGAGGCCATAGAGACCAGAGACCATGACCTGGGCACCTAGGGCTTGGGACGCGTTGCTCTAAAGCTTGCTGTGTGGGTAATTTCTAGCACTAATTTCAAATTTATAGATAACAGGAACCGTATTGTGCTTTTACCAAGGACTCTTTTAAGGTCAGGATAGGTCACTGACCGAAAATAACCCAGATCAATATTTTGTTTTTAGGAACATACTGCGTAGCGCAATCTTTGTCGGTCATTCAAATGCAATACTCAAGCAGTCTTGTATGATTTTTGTCACCGTGAACTGCGAAAGGTCAAACAAGGTCACTAACTTAGATGAGTACCAGCGACGTTTTACTTAGAACAGGTACCTAGGTCCTAGGGGACCTGAGACATAAATCGGGAGCTTGACCTTGTTTGGCCATATTTGACCCAAAGGCGGTGACCTAGGAACCCCTCATCTTGACACAAGTGAGTTTATATGCAGGCCAATACACCATGTATATTTGGTGATTCTAGCTCTCTTAGCTTTTGAAATCTTAGGGGATGAAATTGACCCTCACGCGAGCAAAGGGTATTCAACCAGTCACCCGGGCGAATACTAAACCTTAAGAGTACAGAAGCTTATGGGCCTCTCAGCCGGGCCCACACAGGCCTGGACCTCGCTCTAGAACCCAACAGCTGGGAGCTATTTTGCTGATAAGGCGCTGCCGTCACAAGAAGTCGAGAGATGGGCGCTTAGAGTCCAAGTAGAATGGGCGCCTTTGAGCCTAAGTGACGACCTAAGTAGCCAAAGGGTACTCTAAGACCGGAGGGTGGGTGTTCTAAATCCAAATAGAGTGCGTCGTGAGCTCGGGTAGAGAGAGTAGAGTAGCGGGTAGAGGTAGAGAGACTTTTTCCACCGCTAGGTAAGGATGCGCATCGGGCTTGGGCGAAGAGCGCCCCACCCCGACGTAGAGGCTCAAATCATTAGTGATGGGATGCCTTTAAGTCCAAGCAGACAGACATCCTAAACAGGCGTGTAATTCACTATTCAGCTGGGGGAGACTCCAGTCGCCCTCAACTCTAAGTGCTATATGGGTCAAATCCGGGTAAAATGCTTTTAAGCACATTTTGTGGTGGGCTTAGCCGTTTCAGCGTATACGGTCCTCCCAGCCTTCTCTACGAAATAACACCCCTAGTCTTAAACTCAAATAACAGTGCGACCCTTGGCCCCGGTTGAGTGATAGCCCTACTCTTGGCAGAGAACGCCCAAGTGTCACCCCTGGTCATGGCAGAGGAGTTTTCTAACACAAAGAGAGAGGACCCCTAAATCCAGGCAGTGGAGCGCCTAGAGACGTAGGTGTGGTGGTGCGCGAGCATGCAGGTAGAGGCGTGCCCAGCTAACTAACTGGATGAGCGCAGACAAACGTAGATAGAGAAGTATCTGAGCGCATGCAGAGATCTCAAGCCCAGGTGAAGAGGCAATGGAAAATGTAGCTAAAAAGCACCCAGGAACCAGCCCCTCAGCGTAAGAGATGCGGGGGGGGGGGAAACGCAGGCTGTATCCTACATTTCTGCAAATATCGCCAGCTTTTGACGACAAGCATTGTTGTTGACGTGACGTGCTGTTGACCCCGTTACCTCACAGGTCAAAGGGTCGAGGATTTTGAATGGTGCTCTTAAAACCTGATCAGCACTAATTTTTGGCAAAGTCAGCACGCGCGCTAACGGGTGTGGGCGGGTCTAGAATGGTGCAGTGCGTTCGGAGAACGCATAGTTTCAACTTATCCACATCATTTCCAGAGGCCTCTAATTAGCAGCATCGTCCTAACAACAATTCAGCCCGCGTCGCGCGTCTTTTGTCAGGTTGAATATCTGAAAGATACGTGTTGGCGCGCACTTTATGACTCGGGAACCAAGATGGTCATCGGCATTTGGCTCATAGTGCCACTAAATCAGTCGACTGATCCAAGTCCAGTAGAAAAGCCTCAAGATTATGGACATCTTCATTTTGGTCGCGAGGTGGTTCCTTCGAAAGCCGCCACGCTGCGGTTTGGAATATATATATAATATATATATATATATATATATATATATATATATATAATACTATGCAAGTATAGTCGAAGCTGCTTGCAATGATTCGCGGGTGTTTGGCGTATATCGACACATTATGCCCTGTTCATAACCGCGCTAAATTCGAGCCAGGATAGTGCTAGTTGACATGGCTCGATGCGTTCCTGAGATCGCCTGCGTTTTTGACAAGCTGGCGCACGCGTATTCCCCATGTAAGCCCGGGAAGTCTTCATGTTGGCCTATCTGCAAAAGGCCCTCAAGGGCATACTTGATAAACTGATATCAACGCTGGTTATATAAATAGTTCAATAGATTAAGCTGACGACACCTAACATTGCATACTTCTTCTAAAGAGCAAACCATCGGGACTCCGCTCTGAAACCAAGAAGGTGTGAATCTAATTGTTTTATCCATTGTTGACGAAGAATTTATCCACATTTTGACGAAGAATTTCAGCAGCATTATAGCCTTTTCAATTGCCGACACGTGAGTGTGACACCGTATGCTGGCGAGGGTGGCAAAACTGCAGTCTCTGCGTGATTGGGGTGGTGTTGGATTGTGGGCCAACTGGGTAATAGTGCTGCGAAGGAAACGATGGTTATCGGGCAGCTCTTCACTGACAACCACCAATCATATTCAACGCAATTTTAGATATGAGGTCGCTGATACTGCATATCCCACAATGGTTTTCATTCTACACTTGGCAGTGACCGTTCCTTGCAAATGTCCTATATAGGTGGCGCACAATGTCTTCGCCCGCTCTTTTTTCTATAAAAGAGGAACACGGGCACATCGCCACGCCCCTTTCATGGATTGCAACGAATGCAATGGCCATGTTAACGTCCAGGGGTCATGGCGCCACCGGGAATCGAACCCGGGCCCCACGTGGGAGTCCGATGCCCGAACTACCGGGCCATTGCGCCCAGTTTTCAGCGTTTGCACACTGTGTCGCTCTGCATTTCGGCATAATGGGGCGTTATATTTTCTGTAGTAATTTGAGCTGCATATGGGCCTTTCACTGAACTGCGAAACCTTCTCTAAACTCCTTCAAGTGCTATACCGATTACTACATATTCGGAGGATTTATAAAATGACCAGCTCCTCTTTATAATTTCATAAACGGAGAACCAAAACCTCAGAAGCATTCAACATATGCATGCTTTCGTTACCATGTGGAGTGGTGCTGCCGTGTTTGTACATCGCGTTTTTGCTTTTAGTTCGCACAAAGTAAACTGCATCGGCTTTGCGGCAATACGCCTCCGTGCACTATTGTAGCATGATCGTATGGAAAAACTCTGGACGTAATTACAGTCATACATTCCCCTGCATCAGAGCGAATTACCCCAGTGGCCGCAGAAAGCTCATATTTAAACGGTTCACTATTATTCAATTATAAGCAGGCAGGGCACCATGCTTTAACAGTTCTGCAGTCCCACAAGCCACCACAGCTGTGCTTCCGCGAAGCCTTCTTACGTAGCGGCAGCGGAACTCTTCCGCCGTCTCCCGCCGCACTTGATCAGAAAGCGGCCGGTCTTAGCGGCCCTCCCCGATCCGGCCGTGCCCGGCTGTGTCGTGCGCAGCTCTTGAGGGGCGCCGGGCCCGGCTGCGACCGGCGGCGGCACGGCCGGCTCTGCCCGCGGACACGGAGAGCGCGAGCGGACGGGAGGAGCGCAGCGCCTCGCGGATCGCGTGGACGTGTTGTGTGATCGATACCGGCCTATCTCTGGCGCCGGCAGGGCCAATCTCCCGCCACTATCGCGTGCATGCATGTCACTGTGTGAGAGTCGGGGTGGCTAGGCATGACCGTGTTATTATCGGGGCGGTGTTGGACGCCCGCAGAGAACGCCGCGAAGGTTCCGCCCGGGGAATTTGATGCCCGGGAACTTGATTGTCTGATGTAATGATAGGTGCCAGGCGGCATGACGTACCGACAAGGGCTGCAAGCTTCTGCACCAGGATCTCGACATAGGATATTGCATACACAAATAACTGCTAATTCATAGGGCGGATGTGGAGCTTTCCCGCGCTGGGTATTGTCTTTGACCGCGTCTAAAGCGAGGTCGGCGGCGTCTCTTCCCCCCCGCACGCCTCTGATTTTAGCATTTTCGACGTTAGGAGAGCTAATCCCATAAGCTTGGTCATTAAGAAAATGATTCCGGCTGCGAATCTGACGCTGAGAATCTGGGCCGATGGCTTCCCGGGCGGCGGCGACTGCTGCCGTACTTTGCGAGCGATCTCGCCTGCTCTCGTCAGGTGCAGTCTGCTCTCACCAGCGATGCAGCCTTTCAGGCGAGATGACGATTGCGGAAGCAGGTACGCCATGACATGGCCGATGCGGCCGGTGTGATTACACACTTCAAAGCGATCTCTTCTGGTGTCTGTGTTTTGGACAGATGTATGAGCTCCATGAAAACCTTGAGGTGAGTGAATTGGCTTTTGGCTCTTATAAGCGCGGCAGAGGCGCATAAGCGCATGGGCGCAGCAGACGAATGCTCTAGAATGCTTTTCTAGAACGTCGCTCGGATCGCGCCCTTTCCCGTCCCTCCCCACCCTCAGTCCTGCCCGCAATCGATGACGTGCGTGTCTTGTAAGCAAACTTTAATTGCATGCTAGACCAGGAAACAGCGAGGCCTTATGAAACTGGAATGCCTATTGCATCTTGTACGACGTTTACGGTGCAAGCTCGATGCCGCTCTCCGGATGGCCACGGCTCACGACAAGCTGTGGTCGTTTTTAAGGGGAGCTGTCGCAGCCGGATGCGCTCGGCGACGCCCGACAGAGGTCTCAGCTGGTCAGCCAGAGGTCCCTGGAGGGCGCGCGCCCGCCGGACGCCTTGGGGCTGACGTCACAGCCCGGTCACGGTAAGCGACCGACGGTGAAAGCGCCGGCCGGGCGGCGCGCACTCTTCATATTAATGAGCCGCGGCATGCGGCGTCCGCGTTGACCTATTGTTGCATAATTCCTAATTGTATGCGGGCATGGAATGGGGCGTTACATCGTGCTATTACACACTCCTAGTTACATGTCTTAGCCTCATAGCCGATGCATGCGATGGGACAGCGGCTGGGTGACATTCTCTTGCAAAGTACTGCATGGCCGCCTGCCTTCAGTTTGGTATGTAGGGAGGAACGCGCTTCTATTTGGCCGCAAAACTTTAAATAATAACAGCACGCCTTTTAACAATTATGTACGCCTACTAAATATATAAAACAAACGTCAGCTTGTTGCATGTTCAGTAAGCATTCCGACTACAAGCGAGCGTCCACAGCCACTACCCTCCGTTGGCCACGGAATCCTCTCCTGGAATGTCAGGGCGCGGTCGGGGCTCGTTCCTGGGCCTCGAAACCAGCACAAGCGTTCTGCATTTGTCAGTGAGCGAAACAGAGTTGCAGCTTTGCCTTTATCGGAGTACATTCAAGCCCAACATGGTCATCATCATGATACTCACCATAGCATTCAGGATCAGCTGCCGTCGCCCGAGCCAGCCCGGTCTCACAGCGTTCGTGCACTGACGCCCCATCGACGCCCCGTTGTTTCCAGGAGCAAGCGGCAACGCCCACAGCTCCGCCGGCGGGCCTCCGAGCTCGATGGGCGCCGCGTTCTCGGCGCTGCAGTCCTCGTCTACGGCCGGTCCGCTGGGGGTGGTGAGCTCGGCCATCTCGGCGCTGCAGCCCTCATCCACCGGGGGGCCGCTGAGCGCGGTGAGCTCGGCTCTGTCGGCGCTCCAGGGGCAGACCGCGCCGCGCCAAAGCGCTGCAGCACCCATCGATACACGGTGAGGAAATGGGCGACTGCATTATTCAGCTGACTGGCCGGCCGGCCGTCAGGAGTTGCCGCCGCCATCAAGGCGCAGACTGCGCCGGCGGCTGCAGCTAGAGCCGTACACGATCGCTTTAAGTGGCGCTTGGCACGTGGCAAGCTGGAAGTGATGCTGATGGAGGCGGTTCCCGCAGGTGGACCGCGCAGCTGCGCGCCACGTGAGGGCTTTGGCGAAAAGCAAATGGGCGTGCTTGGTTTGCGGTTAAGCCGCACGCGGCGTTCATGTCTGTGCATATGGAAGTTGCATGTTCAGCAGCTTAAGCAAAACTGCATGCCTTATGCATCGGCAGAGGCGAGATTTTCGAGAAATCACTGCTCTCATACCGAGGTGGTCTCATTCTCATTCTGATCCCAAATAACTGGGATAATATTTCGAAGCAGGGGCATCTCGCTGAGCGTCGAACGTAACCAACGATTTACCACTGGCGCCACCGTGTCCCGTGTGAAGAACCAGATAACGCTGGGATCGAAGGCCGAGCCATCATGGAGGTTCGCACAAAGTAGGGTTTATTTTGAACGTGCATTGAGATCAGAGGTGTAGTTTCCTATTCAATTCGAGCAAGAGGGGGTGAGGCCCCAGTCAACTTGAGCTCCAGATACCCCAACTTCGAGAGAAAGGTGTGGCAAATCCGGCAGAAACCCGTTTGTTGGCCGATTTTGCGGGTAGGTTTCATAGCTTTTCATATTTCAGCCCTCTCCTCTCCACTTCCAGCTCACTTTGCGAACTGTGCCCCTAAATGAAAGTTCAAATAAGGTATAATTAAGCATAGTTGTTTTTTAAATCGCCGTCTCGCATTTGCTTTGGGTATAATGCATGCACATGTCAGAGTGGTTGATATTTTGTCAAAGACACTCTGCAAGACACACGATGCTACACTTTTCGATAATCTTGTTTTGCATGCGCAAGACACCGACCGTTAAAGTAAAATTTCAGGTTTGAAGTGTTTGAGATTTAGGTTATTTGGAAGTGGTGTAGTGTACTTTTAAGCTTCAAAAAGTTCCAAACACCGGTCACCACTATAAGAAAGTAATTTTACCTGGGTTCATGCAAGCTCCAAAAATCCCATGACCGATTAAGCACGAAAACTTGCTCACACAGTCTTAGAAATACAAATAAGCTTAGAAACTTAACAGAATTTGCGCAGGGGCATGGAGAATGCACGCATGTAACATGCAGACTTTCTGATTTTTTTTGGATGTTCTGTTGGGAGGGCTTCGGGTTCGCAAAATTTTCCTGCGTGCAATATGAGGCCCCATTTTAACCTCAGCGCAGAGGGGTCTTGTGAAAGGGTTTGACAAAGGCGCCTATCAGTGGCAAGGCTAGATTCTCAAGTATTCCAGGTTATCAATGGTGGCCATAAGACAGCTCACTCCCAACCAGTGAGTACATCTACGTAAAGAGAACATCTCTCACTGGCCTGAGTTTGGTATCATGCCACGTTTCCAGGAGGAGCCTCTTTGGGTTCAGAGGAGAGCCATCGGAAAATGCGGCAACACCCAGGTGCAAGATATTCCTCATAAAACCACGCTGATAAAAATGATGCCAAAAGCTGCTCCTATCTCAAATAAGGCATCCGCACCTCCACTGCTCAATAGGCACCGCTTCAACGCACTGATAAAGCCGCGGGAATGCAGTTACCAAATTTCACTGGGATTCGCATAAAGCCGGTCATTGGCATAACCGATCAGTTTTAACGTAGCAACATGCATGCATCGGAGGCCATTTACTCACATTTGTGTCCGGCAGATGTCCAGAATAATCGAATAACATGATGTGGCTGAGGACATCATGAGTTCTTATGCTGACAATCACAGACCTTCAATATACCATGACTTACTAGTTAAACTAGGGTATCAAGCACTCACTGGGACATATCACGACAGTATAAAACATTTTAAACACAGTGCTCATGATAACCAGATGACCGACAGCGGCACAGCACAAAAATTATGTTACCGCTGGTAACGGTAATGACTAGTGGATTTCCAACATATCAACTGCTTGCTTAATACTGTTGTTTAATCAGTTGTTCTAGGTATACTGATGGTTCGTACATCTCAGCAAACCAACTCATAACACTGAGAAACGAGTAGCTTGAAGCCTTTCTTACCCTTATGAAGTATATCTGTGCAGCTAATTCCTTCCTATGCGGTGGGCACGTGTGCATCCGTCCGGCAGATGTCGCCAGTTAACCGATATCCGGTCCACACCAGCAGATCTATTTGCCGAAATTGTGGTAAGACGCTGGTGACTTTTCGGCGACGTTATGCAAATCATGCGAAATGGCTACCACCGGGCCACTGAATCGGAGTCATTGTTCGATGGGAATCTCAGCTGCCATTATCGTCGACACTATCACGGACGGTTTTGCAAAAGTGGTGCTACCAAATACTGCTTAGCGGATAGCAGAAAGACGTAAGAGGTATACGCATTTTCGGGAAGAGACGCAGGCGGGGATGGGCTTCAGAGCACAGATTAGCTAATGTTCAAGTAATACGGAAATCTAACCTGCAATGGAAAAAAATGAAAAAATATGTGCAGGGATAGTGAGGTCCTTTACAGCCATTTACATTGATATCTTTGCAGCAACTTCAATTGAGTTCCTTTGTAGCAATTAACAATGATGTCCTTTGTGGTAGCTCAAATCAAGGTTTTTTTGCAGCAGCTTGCCTTGAGATCCTTGGCAACAGTGTAAGCACTTCGCCAAAGGGATAGTGGTCATTCCATTTTTGCTGTTGCAATCCTATGAAGATTTTGATGTCATCCGTGAGTGACTGTAGCGGAGACAATTTTTCATAACGTGTGCTATTCGTAACTGTGCCCAACAACCGTGCGAACCAGCCGGCGATGAGAATACATTGCCACGATTCTTGACAAGCAAAGCAGCCATCATTCCGCATCTTCCTTGCCGGTATATCAGGTAGCAAAGGTCATATGGTACTGCTGCACACACGTTTGTGAGTGTGGCTTCTATCATGTCACTTGCATGTAAGTAAACTTTTATAGCATTATGTTGGCTGCACGGTTTTTACTGCTTATGATAGCATATCAACGGTCTCAGGCAAGTACATGCGCCAATCGCAACGCTTTAAGTTGCAAGTAAAAAAAAAACGCACCTACATTACATGCGCCCAGCGGGCATTTGAAGATATGACGAGTTGCGAACATTTACATCATTTGTACCCGGGCCCCAAGATATATCTGGTAGCCTCGTCGTGACGTCATCGTGGGGTTCCTTGACATGCTACAACATTTCAAGCACATAGGTAAGGGTCTTTTTCAAAGGCAGTTTTTTACCGATTTAGAAGACACAGACGGTTTAAACGCTTCAAGCATCACGCAAAGCGTGTGCTCTTCCACAAGCTAGGTACGCTTTTGGTGTCCAATCTCCCGCTTTGAATTGCGTGCCATTTTGTAAGGGGATAACATCGTTAACATAGGTGGCGCCAATGGTATCAACACCTGGTTTAAAGATGGCGCTAGTGCTGTTCATGCGTTTATGATACTCATCCAGTTTCCCTAGAAACCTGCCTCTTGCCTCTCGAAGCATTCTGCGTGTTTGAATGCAAGGTTTGCTTGCTGGAATTGAAGAATTGAAATCTCTTAATGTATTGCGAGATAAATGTTTGTTGATTTGGTTAGGTCACCGAGGCCAAAGCAAGATTCGTGACCAAAACGTCTGCCATTCTGATCTCTATGTCACAGAAAGTGCTGTTACTGTTTTGTTCACCTTCATGTGTGCACCCCCCAAAGTTGACGTCGAAATTAATGTTGGGCAGCTATTGCTTGTCTTAATTGATGCTTTTAGCCCTCTTGAATTTCCCAACTATTTAATACTTGCATTGGAAGTACTTAACCACAGACATCTTGTATTCAAAAGGTATTTTAGATGCGTCTCTTTATGCACCTTTAGAAACGATCGTGATAAGCTGATATGTTCTTGTTGGACGATGTCCTTTTCTCGACGACACTCAATAACGTTTTAAAAGAGCTTCCCTTACTCTGTGCAAATGTGAAAAGGTGTGGCAGATCACACAAAAATATTCGCCTTGTTTGGACAGCATAACAAGGTTAGATACTAGAGTAACGCGAGGCATTATGAGTTATAAGAAATGGTTCGGAGTTCGCCACCTTTGTTTGTATTTGAAAAAGACCCGTCTTTTAACCTGTTGAAAAAACCGTGCTGCATCGTTATGGTACTTGAACACCTTAAAATCACACGTCACCATAGACGATATTACTCCACTCGCAGCCAGCGAAGCTCATAGCGCATCGACATAGGCGGGCAGGCAGTTTGAAGAATAAATCTAGCCGGGAATAATCGTACTTGTGCCAAATGCGCCATATTTTTCGACAAATATAACTTCAGATTGCATGTTTTAGTCCGTACCCCATACTCGTTGCTGTCACCTTTGTAGACAACTAGCAAGGTAGGCTGCTGCAGCTTTCTTGCACGCCTAAATATTTAAGATGGTTTAGGCCGTCACAAAGACCTTACGTATGACTAGCTTTGCGACGAATGAGATGTCTTGGATCACAATGTGAACACCCTTAGACATGTATTATACGCCATACCTTTTCTCATGACGTCACCTGGCGCTGACAAGCGTCCGACACGCGTACAAACGTATGAACAGACTTGTGACACGAAGCTTTACCGAATTCATCGTTATCGTTAAGCACTTCGCATGTATTTCTCATTCACATTCTTTAATCTCACGAAAAATATATTTCCTCACTAGCCGTCGCCACGTTCCCAATGTTGGACAACTTGACAGGCTCCATTAAGATTCTGGAGTTGTGCGAGAAGACGTTATCCCATAACACCCCCGGAAAATGTATTGCTTGCAACAGCAGCCACGTGGTCTTAATCAGCAGCTT